ATTTTTTTTTACCCCCCCCCCCTCCCCCCAACACTTAGTCGTGTAGCCCAAACGCCTTAATGTAAGCATTTCATAGCGCTACATGTTATCACGCTCCATTTCGTGCGTGTTAATAAAACAAAATTTAAATTACTAACAGATTAACCGTCCTAATCACAAAAAAACCCCCTAAAATTTTTTTGTTTTATCCCCCCCCCCCCCCCCCCCCCCCCCAATCTTATCTTCTAGCTCTACCCCTGAGGTCGAGGATGAAAATGACCGCCCTTGCCATCTCTAATCTCATTGTGGATTCTTTCTTGAACCATATCTACATGTCGATTAATTTAATCTTGTACCAAGCATAATTAATAGTTTAGAATAATTTAATTTGAAAATTATCTACGATAAGAATTTTACAAGATAAAAAAATATTTTCTATGATAATTCGAAACAGATCCTAAAGTTATTAAATCAACATAATTTTGGTCGTCGAAATGACTCATTGAGATTGCTAATGACGTCGTATTATGTGTATATTTAGCATATTCGATCTCGTGTTGCAAAGCATGCATTTATACTAGAAGAACGCTCATACATTAATCCTCATATTAATATAATGAATAAAACATGCATTTGAATTTTTATTTTTTTAAAAAAAATTGTGATTTGCATTCAAAATCTTCACAAACTAATAAGTAATAATTTAGAGGTAAATATAATGATCATAATCCCCTTATCATATGTGTAATGCTCATCCAAAACATTGCTTGCTTGCATTTACAGCCATTTGTGAGTGATTTTTTGGTCTAAAAAATTGTTTTTTTGATCGTTGTTTCATTATTTCAGCCGTCATATTTGACTTATTCTCTCATAGATAGACCCCACTTTTCTCCTAACGGTCAAAAAATCAATTCTCAAAATCACTCCCAAACAGGCCCTTAATATTGTGAAAATTTCATGTGAGATTCTTGCTGTATACTCATAATTTTTCTTCTTCTGTTTCTTTGTTTTTTTTCCTTAAATCTTTGAGTACTCTAACTCAATAACCTTTGAGTTTTAAAGAGTCATTTAAAATTTTCAATTATTTCCCTTGAGCTAGAAAGTCCCGTGAAATAAAGATAGCTTGTGTATAGCCCCTGTGGGCATGGCGCGTGGTAAAGCAGTAGGATTCTCTACAAAATATGGGAAGTTCGAATTCCCGCGACAGTTGGAATGTAACATCTATGTTGGAAGACAGATATTCTGTGAAGACAAAGTTATTGTGCGTTTTGTCGTTCCTCCGGGGTTCTGTTTGCACATGGTAAAAGAAGGTTCATGGAGAGGAGAACCGCATTCCGAATATTTAGTCTGAGTGTGTATAAGCTGTGATCACATTCGAATTTAATCCGAGTAGCAAATCAGGGGAAAAGACTGCCACTCTTCAGGGTTAATCGGGTCAAATTCGGACTCTTGAGTCATAAAATAAAATAAAAGATAACTTGTGTATAAATTTGAACTTTTGAACAAATTGTCATGAAATCAAGCCTCTAGCAGTAATACGACATTTTGTAAGGTTCGGGTTCATTCTGTATAAATCATAAATGATTTAAATTATGTCTTTATTTGGACATCATTTTCTAAATTTTTTTTTAATACTCACTTTTAATGATAAATGAAATGATCCATAATTTTATCGATTTTTTAACTATACATTTCATCAATTTTTATTAAAATATACTAAAATATAACTTTTACCTAAACTAAACTAAACAGGAACATCTTCAAACACAACTAGGCTAATCTTTTAACTTATCAAACATGCATTAAGAAATTTATTGTAAATTTTGATAAACTCACGGGATCTAATACTACAAGGGCCTATTTGATACAAGCCAATGTCATGGAAAATGGAATTATTTTCCATCTAAATATCTTGTTTGATAGGCAAAATTTTTCATATAATTGTTTTTCCACCCTACGCCCCACTTAACCATTTTTCGTGGTTTTTAAGGAATTTGTTTTTCTTTGGTTTTGATGAAAAAATTGTTTTTCAGCTTTTTAAAAAAAAAAAATTTGGTAATGGAAACAAATTATATCCACAATTGTAACAAATCATATCTCTTTAATTGACAATTTTCATGAAAAACAAAATCAAACAAACACGAAAAGATCCAAAATTTCAATATTTTTTAAGTGAAAAATTATATAAATCAAACACATTTTATTAACAATTCCCAGTAAAACAAATTCTAGGTAATTCAATTTCTTGAAATTCCTTTTTTTTCACCCAAATTCCATTCTTATAATCAAACAAACCCTAATTATTAATTACCATATATACAATACTTACCAATTCTGCTAAGTCGAGATCTGCTGTCTAATTTTGTTGTCTATTCAATCATTTCTTGACATGTCATCAATAATTAACATTTATCTCAAATTCACTCTTATTAACTTCATCACTAATCTACTAAATTAATGATGTATCAAGAATTTCATTATTAAGAGTTTGTTTGATGCTTTTCTTTTCTTTTTTTTTTTTTTTTTGCATGTAAAAATTGTATTTTG